AGTCGAGTGACAGTTGCTGAATGTGTGGGTGGGGAAATCACCCGACACGTAGTCAACGCAAGATTGATGTTTTTCAATTTGACTTTTCTGGCGCTCACGCGAAAAACTCCTTCCACTGAAAAAGTGTATGCAGTTCAACAATACGTCCTGTGTTGCTCTATGGCTACGAATTTGAAGATAAGGGAATATGAACATTTGTCTGCACAGTGTCGCCCGCGAACAACGGGTGCATCGCGTGAGTAACGACAAGGTCAGGAGACGCGTGTCAGGATAGAGCCTACAGTGGGGACATGTCCCGAAAATGCATCGATAAAGTATAATACTACTGTACTTTGCTTGCCTTTTAGCACACGTTGGACGAGATTGGAAGAAACAGCAACACAAACAGTTGGTGATGTGTGGGTGAAAAAAAGCAAATCCAGGCATAACATTCTTTAGCGAAAAACGTACATGTGGGCGCCTTAAGGCCAAGTAGACCCAAGACGAAACCGGTGACTGTGTGGTATTCATAATCAGCTTTCAGTTTTCATCCTTTCTTACATTCTTTAGTGGAGCGCTTATACATAGAAATGGGAAAAGTTGGGCGGCGATGGTGGGATTCGTGTACACACGCTCTTCGGAGCGGCGAGTTGGCTAGTTAACCGCTTGATAGTGTGGGAGTGGTCCCCGCTCATACAAACCATACACCATGGGAATGCAATTTAGGTGATTACGATGATCAACATGTTCTATCACCTAATGGAGCTGGTGAACTCCAGCACCAGAGTGTCCTGGATCGATTTTACACACCTCGCATAGGACAGTTTGGAACCAGGGTAGATCAGCTCCACTATATGCGCCAGCTGCCTGTTGCCCATCGATGGAGCGACAGCCACGGATGTTGGCTATTCAACCTCGCCACAATCAGGCAATCAGTGGGAGTGATGTTTGGGGAGTGGCAGTGATCGGCGGACCGACCGGTAGATCACAAGATCAAATCCATCAAACACCAATAACGCCGCCTAAATCCACCCGTCTCTCGATGTCCCCTATTCAATTACAAAATTTACCTTGACATTGGATTGCATCATATGAAACAGACTAAATGACGACTCGGAAATCAAACCTACATAATAAAACGGGTCACGATAAACCGTTTTTGAAGTCCGATTGTACAAGGCTGAGCACATTATGGTGGAGCGGCGAAACAAAACAGTGAAAAAGAGATGCACACAAATTGTGGTTTTCATCAATATTCACTACACCTACACACATCCGTCACTGACCAGGTGCTCGTCGTTTTGTGCCCATGTTGATTCCAATACCAGGCTCGCCCTGATGCACCCCACGAATATGTCGGTTCAAATCAGATTTCTGCACAAACGGTTGCTGGCATTGCTGACACTCGAAGTTACGGGCCGCGCGATCGTGGTGCTTCAGATGATCTTTTAATTTGTCTCTGTTTAGGGAGGGATAAAAAAACGAAAAATTGTTTTGGTGCTCTGAGTCACACAACGGAACGGATACAGCGATAGCATGGTGTCTGCTACTACTAACAAACAATCCCAAAGCGAACAAACAAGGTCACTTTGTGATCCCGGTTGGAGAAAGCCATTAGACAACATAAATTAGTTATCGACTATTTGACACTCCCAGTAGCAACTCCAGACAGTTTCGGGAAATGGGATCGCTAAACTTACAACTCTGTCAACGTATCACACAACACCGTGTCTCTCCCCATTGGGTAGTTGTCTATCACACTCCGCACAACTGGTTATTCTTGCCGAACAGTCCTCCTCTTCACTGCGAGAGATTTCACATACGACCGGGTGACAAAACCACCAGACTGTCACCAAATTAAAAAAACAACCACCCAGTGCCCATATATAGAGAAAAAGGATTAAACTTGACTTTAACAAAAAACTGTCTAACTCATAGGGTTTACATCCCTGCCAGAGTTACACGGTTGGGATGCTTGGACCAAAGTAATTGCAATCCTCTATAATCGTGACCGTTGACTCGGAAGTGTGATAGTTTGCAATGCTTTTCTCCATACTACGAACAGATCAGAGAAAAACGAGCACGGAAGAAAAACGGTACAGACCGCACAATATACCGCAACGTCAGAAAAAAAGTAACTGAAAATTCGAGATGAAGAAAACTACGTGGAGAAGAGCTAAGAAAAAATGTATCGATAGATTAGGTGAAGTATGTGTCCCTGGTTTCCAGGCTGGGGTCCGAAGGACTTGGTATTTGATCACCATCATAATCGTCATCGTACACCAAGATGCAGTGAGGCGAAATTCACTGATCGCTGCCAAGCTTGCAATGTACACAAATCAAGTGATAAAACAGGATGGAGGGATTGGGTCTAGTTGGAGGGAGGCAATGAAAGCGAACATCTATGGTCAACACAACCCAGGTGTGTACACATACCTTTTCAAGCATCCTAACCTAATAAGAAACGACAACAAGAAGGTTATTTAGTTTCCATATCCTTCAGTGTCTCCAACCAGCCAGTTGCACAGTCTTTCGAACTACAACCTAGAAGAAGGGAGACACCGATTCTACCTAAACGCTGTGTACTTCTTCATGCCTCGTTTCAACGCCATCTGTTGGCCTCCACGCGGTTTCTCCGAACCCGAAGCCGCGACTGGGAATAAGACGCGATGCGGCAGACGATGGTTGGGCATGCGCAACACGTGTTCTAACCAGCGAAGTCGACTAATCTGAATTCGATGGGACAACAAATTCTTCATCGAATCATTACCTTACCTCAAAGTTGCTTACAAGCTCGCACCGTCCAACCCGCACCAAACTACGTAAACAAGGGCAGTCGAAGATATCTACATCTTTTCCCATCAAGCTTTAGCGAAAACCCGCAATCCTTTAGCCAAAACCCGAGATGCTTTAGTCAAAATCCACATTCCTTCAGCCAAAACCTACAATCCTTTAGCCTTGATCTACATTCCTTTAGCCAAAACCCGTAGTCCTTTAGCCTCAACGCACAAAATTTAGTCACGCCGCAGTAGGCGAGTCAGATCAAAAAGTATTGGAATATTCTGAAGTCAACGAATGTTGAAAAAATTATTTTCAATAAATTTTGCGCGTTGAGCTAAAGGACTGCGGGTTTTGGCTAAAGGAATGTGGGTTTTAGCTAAAGCACTTCGGGTTTTGACTAAAGTATTTCGGGTTTTGGCTAAAGGATTACGGGTCGAGGTTAAAGGATTGCGGGTTTTTGCTAGAGCTTGATGGGAAAAGGTGTCAACAACGAATATCTCTCATGCGCAAATTTAGGGTCTAGCAATCATAAAGCAGAACTGACCGCAAACTGGCGCAGTATACGCGACCTTTCAGTTTCAACGAAACATCGAGTATGCACCAAGAGCGCTTCAGTCCTGTGTAAGCTGCTCGAGCCTTGGAAATGCGAGCGATTAATTCATTGACTATGCTACCGTCATTTGTAACGCAGCTACGTTGGAGATAACTAAGGACATGACGGTGGAACGACTACAGTGTGGTGCTTGTTGTCATTTGCTTTTGGATCAGAGTGCTGAAATTGCGCATACGTGGGTAGACTGCATACAACGAGTGTCCATCATAAAGGCTCATGTTCTTTCCCCTTCGCCGAAACTGTTTAACTTAAACAGTCGTTTTTACTTCATTGTAGTCCACTGAGTGATGATGTTGGTGACGAAAGAAGGCAGACAATGAAACCCATTTTTTGTTAGTGAATATGCTAGACCTGAATCAGAATTCTAATATCAGCCAAATCAACTGAAGGACAGGAACTTAAGACTTGTATAGGACATTGCATATCAAGATTTTAGGGGTAAAGGCATGAACTGTATCTCAGTAAAAATCCTCATGAAGCTCATAAACTTATTATTATGTTCGGTCGTGAATACCGAGTACACCAAAGGTAACCTAAGATACTTGAACTGTGCTTATAAGAGACTAAAGTTTAAACACGTCATTTGGGACGTAGTGGTGAACAGTTCAACAGCACTGCCTAAAAGAACATGTACTGCTTCTTCGCAGATGGTAACGAGTTGGGTGGCCGTGGTAAAGTTTGTGACTTCGAACATCGCGGGTTTGAAGCACGCAAGTAACAGCGACGTGTACCATTTGATTTTGCTCACAATCGATCAGTTAGTTGTACTTTGTTCCACATATTACCAACGTGAGCTCGAAAGTAGGCGGATTTATCATCCAACAGCATAAACGGTATCCATCCTGAAACCGTTCTAAAGCAGATGCTGAACCAGCTCAGAACAGTTCAATGCTACTCACTCGCGCTTATACCGCCAAATCTAAATGGATTTGCAACCTAATAAAGATGCCAATGTTTAAAATCGTCCACTTGCAATTGATACGGCGGCTTAGTACTGACAAGTTTAATTAAAACGTTCAAAAAGACGCCATTGATCGATAAGAATTTGATTTGAGAAATGCGAACATTTGAAGATGGACCCCCGGTTGAGTCCATGCAGCATGAATTATTACTTCACATTTTGTAACTCCACTCAAGCTTCCCATTCAATTTCAAATGACCAGAAACGAATGATTATCGACGCCCCCGCTTACGAGTTTGGCATGAATGCGGCTTTTGCTCGGTAGATTCAACAAGCACTCCATTGATTTTCTGAAACTTTTTTCAATGGTTTTCACTGCAGTTAATCTAACTGACAGGTGCGTTTGATGTACCGACAAATGCCGTTGGCTTGTGCGTGTCTGTGAGGTTTCATCTGAAATTCATAGAATGACTACCCTGCCGACAATTACAGATAATACTCGTTCCATCGGCCCCATATTTTTGAACACGCACGGCAGAAGTGACAAAAAATTGCAACTCGAACGGTTCCCACACCAAGGATTTCACTTGTCATCTCTGCTGAACAATTTTAGTTGGGAATACAACTCACAATGGTGTACATTCTGCCGACTGTGGGAGTGAAAACGGATCGATAAAAGCACAGGGGTTCGGATTGGATCTCTGTCACAGTACGACGTGGGGCAGGCATAGACAACTAGTCAGTACTACGCCCATTTCATCGACTTTATGTGAAAGTATATGACCACTGTTGGTGGTACACTTTTTAGTTCTTTATGCACCAAACACCTTGAAATAATTGATAAATGATGGATAATATCTCATTTAAGGGGGTTTTAAAACAGTACCCCTGTTATGACAATTACTCTCAAGACGCTATTCCCTATTAGTGAATGAGGTTTTCAGTTCAGTTAAGCTCAGTTTTTACAACCATTAACTATGCCCTTTCGGGGGTCGGTTTTAGTTGCTGTTTCATGGCGTTCCGTTTGGATAAAAGAATAAAAGGGAGACTAGAATGCACATATCAGTTTCAAAGTGAAAACATAAAAAAATATCAAGACTAAGGTTTCAGGGATAACGACTGGATGCATAAGCGCCACTGTTCACGACACCCAGTCATATCACTCAGGCTCGCTAAGCATTTGCCAGACCTGAGACATTTGTGGTGCTGAGCTCCATTTGTCTGGGAAGGGTTGAGTGTATGCTTCATTGGCCAGTTTTGCTATGCAGAAACTTGGCCATTAAGAAAACATGGTAAAGATAGACTGTCAGTGTTCGAACATTGGTGTCTACGTCACATTCCACGGGTCTGATGGGCTAATCGAAAGAGCAATACTGAGGTTAGGCGCAAAGGTTTAGGTATTCGCGGTAGCGTACTGGAGCAAGTAGTCGACCTCCCTAGACTGTGATGGTTGGGGCACGTGATGCACATGCCACCAAATAGATCAGGAAATAAGATGCATCCAAGTTGTAAGGGTCACCGACAGATCACATCGAAGGAGATGGGTTCGAACTTCAGCCACGTCCCCGGGTACTGCCACTGCTTGTCTGCAGCCACTTGATGAAGCGTTCAAGTTTGATTTATTCAGGCACATGGTAACTGCGGTAGTTTCTCACTTGTGAGTTTGTACAACTCCAAAATGAATTTCGGTCAAAGTTAGCTACAGTGCAATTTCTTTACTACAATTGGTTGTGCAGGCATATTCGATGCTCGCGTATATTTTTAGGAACCTGGTTGGATTCCATGTGTAATCCCCATTGAGTAAACTGTCGGATCGACTGCTTCACCATTTCGATTGGACAATGTAAACATCATCACCTACAGAGGCTATCGAGTTTCGAAATTTGGTACGAAGATAAGTGCCACTGCTTTTTGAAAAGGTTAATAAATTGCTGCACTGCTAATCAAATGCAACAAGTGGTTTCCTCTGACCGGTTTCATCGAATAGTTAATGATGAGCTGCTTTCCCACGATGTTCTGCGGACTGAGAACAGTCATTTTTATTTATCTTTTGAAAACAAGGAAACAAATCGTAGGCTTGTTTAGATTTCGATACGTCTGCACACCGATTGTTAAAAAAGAAACAAAGTTGGTTTGGAGTTATCCAACGAAACCTCTAGAAACG